AAATATGTATTTTACTAATATGATTTATTTATTAATATTTAATTATTTAATATATTCATATGAGTTATTAATGAAACAAATTATATTTTAAATAGTAAAATTATTAAGAAAATGAAAAAAATATAAATAAAAAAAAAAATTAAAAAAAATATTAAAAAAATGAATTGTCTTGATAATATTTATGATCACACGCATTTTCAAATTTTCAAATTCATAAAACCTTTGATTTAGTCATAAAACTGCTTTATAACAACTAAATAATCCTTTGACTTTTACTAATGTTATTGGACAGTATTGCATTTTGACTATGTCTGAAATAGTAAGTTCTACATTCAATGAAAATTCAGGAGAATGTCAATTGCAAAGAATACTTTTGATAGCTATTAATAAATCATAAATGAACAAATTGTCGAAATATGTAGGAAAAAATGGAATTATTGAGAAATATGTAAAAACATGTACTTATGGCAAAATAAATAAAAATATGTAAAATAAAATATAGTTCATTTTATTGGAAATCCCTTTAAAACAAATTTATCACTCATCTAAATTTATTTATCAAGTCACAGTAAAAATATATATTTACATATAAATCTGACCCTTAGTCATGACGCTTATGAAAAAGTACATCTTTAGTGGCTTAGTACCTTAAAATAAAACTTTTTAAAAATAACTAATACAATTTTAATAATGAATTTGAAAAATGGGCCAAATTAATCTTTTGCTGCTCTTGAAACCGGAGGCTGCACACGCCTAAATTTGTAAGAAGGTCTATGAAAAAACCCAACTGTATTAGTTTTTACACAATACAATCAAGGAAATTTGATACTGATCATTTCTGTTTTAGCAGAATATATAAATTTAAATGTATTCTTTGCTTAACATACAGAATGATCTAGTAGTGATAAAAATTCTGAAAACAGATTGGATTTTTTGTTAAATTTACTTGAAATTGACTTTTTAACATTTTTTGATTTTTCACCATAAATCCTAAAAAAGTAGAAATTAAAAAATTTTCATATTTCTAATTTGGAAAAATTGACAATTAAAAATTAAAAAAATTGAGCAATTGACTTCAAGTAAACTTAACAAAAAAATTTATATCTGTTTTCAGAATTAATATTGCTTTATTAGATCAATTTGTAAGTTTGATAAAGAACATGTTTTAATGTCTATGTTCTGCATGTGTAGATAGCCAAAGATGATAGTATCAAATCTTCTTGATTAAAAATCTAAATTGGCAATCAATATAATATATCAGTCCTCAGAAAACTAAAATGATATTAATTAGTATAAAATGTTTAGACAACGTTTATGTTTTTTTAGTAAATATAAGACTTTAAGAAGTTATAAAAATGTATTATATATTTATAGTTCTTGCTTTAAGCTTATTATAAAAATAGATTAAAACATATGTTACATTTTTCAAAGAACTAATTTGTACTATGTATTTATTATATTTTTATGTCAATGACTAAAAATTAATACAGTGATAGAATAACAATTTAAATTAGTATTTTATAAGTAACTTTGAAACAATTCTAATAAATTCTAGCTTAGTACTAATAGTATTTGATTAAATAGTTAAGTCATTATTTAATAAATTATTATTAAGTTCAAACTAAAAAAAGTTGAAAAGTAGGTGTCGATGTGTCGAATGTACATTGTCATTAAATAAATAAGTCATTTTAATAGATGAGTTAATTTGAATTTAATTATAAATATGTACAGAAAAAAAAAAATCTTGAGTGAAGACTGTCTAATTTTTCGGTAGGTATATTTAATTATATTACAGGGTTTGAATTACAAAATGTATATATATATATACATTTATTTTTTAAAACACAAAGAAAATTCTACTTTTGATTTACCAAACTACAAACTAAATTAAATTTGTTACCAGAAACTCATCTCAAAGTTGATGAAAAGTATCATCAGATTAAAATAAAAAAAATTAATACATTTATCGTTTTACTCTACTGTTCTAATATAAGAGTTTGTAGATTAAATAAGTCTTTTAATAAAACCAAAACTCGTAACATACTTGTAAATATTTAAATATAGGTATTGAACATTAAATTCAAAATTAATATTTCAACAAGTTAACAATAATAAATATTATATTTTACCACAATTTTCCATTAGTTAAATACATGTGAATGTAAATTGTTGTGGTAGTTTTTTAAAACAAAATGGAAAAAAAAACATGAATTTACTTATAAAAATGGCTAAAATAAAAATAAATAAATATTAAGGTAATAAAAATATAAAATTTTTGTTTTTTGAATATAAAAAAAAACTGTACTCACTTAACTCGATCAAAGGATAAACAGTATTATCCATTAAATTCTTTTTAACTTATTATCATTACATGAAGTATTGTAAGATATTTATATTAAATTAAGTAGATTAAGAATTCTGTCTCTTAGTCCTTACCAGTGACAAACTAACACAACTAATTTAATTTAAACACGCCTTGCATGCGTGTTCAATAATATATCGCATAAGTCAACAATACATTTATCACTAACCATAATTTTTCCTCAGCGACCTTTGGTATTCAACGGTGCGCAGTGAAGTGGGGTGATGTAGCAGCCTCTTCGTTGTCTTTAGGCTTCTTCCAAACATTTTGTGCAATAGGCAAAAAATTATGTCGTACAATTAAGAAAACGAATGTCACAAGTTAAACAAACAAAAAAAGCCACCACGCTCCATCGAGACTCATATCAAAACCAAATCATCCAAAAGAAATAAGGCTAATGATTTATGATAATGTATGAATTCTTGGAAACTGTAAAGGCTAATGTAGGTAATCAATAACATAGATAAGGAACAACCAAAAAAAATGTATTATTTGTTATCAATCAGATGTTTTGTTGTACCACAATAGTGGTAGCCAAGGACGTTGTATATGATTTTCATGTTTTATATTTTTTCTCTTAAATATAAATCAAAATCATATTATTATAATATTTTATTATAATTATAACCAATATACATAGTGGGCCAGTGGGTCAAAATTCGGTTATTATTAATGATTAATTACCCATGCATAGTACTATAGTGTATATTATGTTACACTATAAATAAAATTGGCTTATGTCCAAAAATGTTAGGTTACTTCATGTACGCGTATGGTTAATATATAGTATATTATACTTTATAGTTATTAATCGTGCAAAAAATAGCAATTCATTATTTTATTTTATTTATATGATAAATTAAAAAAAATAAGAACAAAATTTTATTTGTAATTAAAACAAAATATATTTACGCATAAACATATTTTCATGTTATACATATTTATATTTTATACCTATACATCTTTGTACCTATTTATACAATATATAGAAGGCATGGGCGAAAATAAAAATATCGATAATTAAATAAGTACCAACCCATGTAAAATATTGAGTTTATACAGCAATAATTTAACACATTATTATGATTTGGTGAATACCTACGTAAATTCAAAAATGTTTTTATTTACATAATAATTTGTAACGCAATTATCATCAGCACAAAACAATTTAAAAATGTCATGTATTTATCTCACAAATTACAATTAACTATTTTTTACAAAATATTTTCCTAATTTCTTATGGTAATACTTAACTTTATGCATACACTCGAAAAGTATAACTTACTTGCATCAATAAATAAAAGAGTAATAATATAGGTAGGTACCGATTTGAGAATATTCTCTGCAGCTTCTACTAAATAGCTTTATCCAAAAAAGATAAATATAAATAAACATAATATATTGATATATATATACCTTTTCTTTGGTTATATTTGTAGTCATAATGATTTATGATTTACCAGTATTTTATTTTAACACCTATACTAGATTCTAAAGTGTTTTTATCATACCATTTTAACTGCGGGTCCTAATGCATTGAACAGCGTTCCAATCCTGAGCCATTTATATTATCATCTTTGCCACACAACTATTTTATATTATCATGTCTCCATAAAGACAAGGATCTTTGAAGGTACCTACCATAAGTTAAAAAGTCAAATTGCCCCATTTCTATAATAAAATATTTAGAAATCATTTCCATGGGCATCCTTATTCTTTAATTGCGAATCTGATTTTCAATAATCTTTTAAGAATCCACCTTGTTGTTTAAGCGGAAATAGTAAAGAGACCTTTTACTACTATAGTCACTGGAGTTTACCAATTAATGAAAATCTTCAAATACGGGGAAATGACTAATTTATTATCATTTTTGTTTTAATAAATGTGTAAATAAACCTTTAAAGCTATAAATATATTCATATATTCATAGTTATTCGCCAAAACAATATTTTTGGTGAATTAAGCAATCGCACAAAACCTATATAACTATAATCATCCAATCGGTCTATACGGTCTACATATCGATAAAACAGTTTTGTAATTAAATGATATAATACAATTTACAAATATTTACATGTAATAGCACGAACTACAGTAATATCCTAATTAATAAATTGTCAACGATCAAAATAGCAGTCAAATTTAGATTTTATTAATATTCTTAGCTTGGAAGTTAATTATTTCAGAAATTTAATATATTTTTATTTTCTAAATTTAATATATATAATTATATATAATATATTAATGTATGTTTATAAGATAATCTTGACCTTTTCTTTTTTTTTTTGGTAGGTACTAGGTATAGACTACTGATTAGAGAGATAGGAATTAAAATTCTTAATCTGAGTCAAATTATTCGTCAACCTTTTATTAGATACTCAGTGAAAATAAAAATTATTTTAAGCTAATAGAAAAATATAATATCATATAAAATATAAAAACTTAAATTTTAGTTGGTTTTTAGAACTTTTTTGAAAGAATATCTAAGTCATATTTATTAATATTGGGTATTTATTTTTATAAAAAATCTTCTTTTGTATAAATTATAACACTATTTTTATCTTATGTTAATTTTTTTTAAGTTCAAAAGTTTTATAAACTATGAACTATAAATATTAATAAATAAAACTAAAATCAATTTGTAGGCAATAATAATTTTTATATTTTAAACTTTGACCAAAGCTTTTCCTATATTTTCTCCATTTAGCATACCAATAAAAGCTTGCGGTAAACTTTCAAATCCCTGAACAATGTACTCTGGATAAATAAGTTTGCCCTTAAAAAAAAAAAAACCAACATAGTAAGTACTAAGTAATAAAAAATATAGTTTATCTAGGATTAATAAATATTAAGAAAAAATTATAAAAAAGCTTACTTCTTTTATGAGATTTAAATTATGTTCAATACCACTTTGCCATTTATCTGCCCATCTACTAACAATAAAACCTTCGATTTTCAGTTGTTTAAAAACTATGGCTGGTTGTAACATTGGCACTAAGAAAAATAATTTTTCCATTCAATTTATAAACAATAATAATTTAATGTAATCTATAGTAGTGTGCATTAATAAAATAATAAATGTTTGTATATTATAGAGTTGAAATTTAATTTATACCTTTTGGTAAATTTTTTGGATTAGTATTATATGATGAAATTGAGCCGCAAACCGAAACACGTCCAAAATTTTTCATTCTATAGATAACTGCACTACTGAAATCGCCGCCAACCTGTAATTTAATTACTACAAATAATCAATAAATATAAACATATAATTTGTTATATAAATTTAATATGTTTGAATGTAAATCATTTTTACTAAACTTCTGAGATTTTTAATACTAACTATTCATTAAAAAATTAGGTATGGCGGGTCACACACAATTATTTAAAGCAATGTGTGTGTAATAGAAAGAAGTTGACAAAATTGAATTTTGAACAAAATTAACAATTATGAGTATAATTAAAAGTATTAATATATCAATAAAAATATAACACAATACAATATAAAATATTATATATTATGCAGACAAGGAGTGTTGGGTTTTCACTGGCCTTCATTGACTTTATTATTGAAATATTTTTTTAGTAAAGAGTAGGGCAAATTGAATTAAGTAAGTTCGTGAGAAATAGAAGTGGAAAGTTTTGTGAAGAGACAAGAAAATTGGCATTGTTCAATAATTTAAGATAAATCAATTAATTTAGCCAAAAACACAAGTTTTATGTATAATTATAAACTGTAATGATAAGTTAACTTAATTGAAGGTACAATATTGTAAATAGTAGGTAACTATTAAGAATTTTACAATAGAAATATAATAAGGATGCTCGCATATAGGTACTGTTTAGTTATTTATTATGTTAATAATTAATAATACGTTATAGTTATAGTAATTATGGTTTATACAATCTTACTTTAAAATTAATTTAAGGAACGTATTATATATTATTTAGTATAAATATAATTAATAGTTATATATTCGAGATAAATAGCTTGTTAAACATGTGTTATACAAAACAAATCAAAGTTATTTCGTTCACTTACGTTATCAAAGTAACAGTCTACACCATGTGGAGCAGCCTCGAGAAGAGCTGCATTGACATCTTTTGTTTTATAATTAAACGCTGCATCAAATTTAAGAACTTCTTTTAGCCATTTAACCTTACGGTCAGAACCCGCAAAACCAATTATATAGCATCCTAAATTCTTTGCAATCTGTGCCACGTGAATACCCACAGCTCCAGCTGCAGCACTAATGACAACGGTTTCCCCTGGTTTTGGGTCGCAAATATTTAAAAATCCAAATAAGGCTGTATTGCTAGAATAATAATTTCAAATATAATTGTTTAACTGTAATTATTATAACAATTTAACTAATATAACTCAAGTATATGTCGAATTCAAAAATAGATGATCAATGCTCATTCTTGTTAATTATACGCTATATTAGTCACTACTCATTAAATACCTATTAGTTATAGAATGATATACTACTCAAAACTCAAACTTAATTGTGAAAGGTAAAAACTATAATAATTTCATAAAAAACATTAAATAACAGGCGTCTAATGCCTATATTGCTATTATTTTCTATAGTATAATAATAATTATAAAACAATAATTATATACTAATATAGGTAGATAGGTAGGTGTAATAATATCAATTAGGTACATGATCAGATATAAGTATACAACTATCGCATTGGCAGAATATTTACACGAAATATAAAATATAATTACCCTGGCATTCCAAGTACTCCAAGACCAAGCGAAGGAGATAAATTTCCAAAATCAGGAAGTACATAAAATGTTGGCATAACGTCCTTTTCTGATTTTGTGGGATTAATGATACTTAATGTCCTCCAGCCAGTAGAACAGAATACTATTTGACCAACTTTGTAATCTTGATTATTTGATTTGATAATTCTAAATAAATAAAGTAAAAAATAACCATTTGCACAAATATGGGGAGGGTTTGGTGTGATTAAACATAATCACTCTAAGGCTAAAATGTCTGTTAAGTGTCAAGTTACTCTAATTTATTAAAAATGTAGTTCTTAGTACTCAGCATAAATAATTTTTTAGATAATATTAATTATTAAGAGGAGGGGGCTTGAGTCCCTTCACAAAGTTTGAGCTATTCGTGTCTATGAAAATAACTATATTAAAAATTAAAGACTATATTAAGATACATTTATAACTTTTTTGCGCAAAAAGTATTGCTACATTCTATATTATTTTTAGGTGTCAATATTTAAATATTATAAGTAAATTTATTTGAAAATTGAGTAAGCAAACATATGTATATTTAATATTATAATGAAAGATAACGATAGGTACTGGAAATACTCAATAGACAATAGTAAAAAAGTACAGTACACTAATATTATGATAGTTCACTATTTTCTAGCATTACTATGGTAAAAAAATCTTGATGTTTAATCAATTATAATCCATAATAATATATTCAGACTTTACTTATTTTGGTGTTCGGTAAAATTCCATTTGGAGATAAGATACTAAGGCTGTACAAGTTCATTTATCATTACCTATACAGGGATATTATTTAACTTGATAATAATATATTTAATAGATACGATTTTTACATTTTATATTTGTTATTTGTATTAATTGCTCATGTAGCTTGAATTCAAGTATGATACATTTGTAGTAATTTTCTTTTGTTTTATTTTTATGATAACATTCATATTTTACATGTATTTTGACTACAATTATAAGTTATAAGTTTATAACTAATATGTAATAAAATTATAGTAATCAATAACCAAATAAGTGTTTTGTTGGTAAAATAAACTATTGACAGACGGTATTCAGAATTATATACGTAGTAGTTATCAGACGAAAAAGTTTAAATATAATGGTTAATGATATTATTATTACTTATATAAATAGGTTAGAACATGAGGTTAGGTAGATCATAATAATGCTACATTAATGTTATTTGTAAAAAATAAACTAAGTAATGAAATGTATTTATAGCTTATAGGTACTGTTTATAGTTAGAAAAATTAAAAATCAATTGTATCAAATTTAATTTTATAATATATACTATCTCCGTGGACTTCGTTTTTTGTACAAAATGCATCTGTGTTAAATTTGGTTGTCTAATACTAACATTACATTTTTAGTGTAACACGAATAAATAAATAGTATTTTTTGTTCTTGGTTTGATGATATTTTTGACACGTAAATTTAACATAGTTTCCCCACCCAGCGTTATTTTTTTAATCATTCAACAGTTGCATTTTTTTTAAATTATTTAAATTTTTTTCTGTTGAACGATTCAAATTTTATTTTATTTATATTTTGGACTAAAAATCAATAATTCATAAAATTTCATTATTGTGAACTAAAAACAACGAACAATTTTTGTACTGTTATGCTATACATCAACTATTCACTAAAATACTAATTTCTAATAATAATTAATAATTGATAACATGGATGAAAAAATAAAAATATCTTTATGTGTATATTTGCCGATTATTTAAAAAATTAATAATTCGGTTTTTTATTAGCTTATAGATTCAGAAATAGGCTTAAAATCTGTTGATGTAATTTTTCATTTAAAATAATCAATATAATCGGGTATGTATAGTTTCAGATAACATGCGTGACAAAGATTTCTATTATCACATTTACATATTTAGATTAAATAAATACAATTATAAATTTTCTATTGGCCTTTGGAAATTAAAAAGGCGTATTAATAATATAGTTAAATATGTATTATTTTTTCACGGCTATTTAAGAATAACATAAACTAAAACAAAGCTTAATATTAAACATTTTAAAATAGGTCATAATGATGTTATATAAAACGATTTAAAAAATTATATATATAGGTAATTACATTATATTATGTACAATGCACATGAATACTTTATTCAATTTTAATTCATTATTGAAAATATAGAAAATAAAGATAAATTTAGAAATATTGATAAATAAATGGGTGATTTTGTTTTTTTTTATTTAGATGAAGATTTTATAATTATGAAATCCGAGAAGTTGCATTTCGATTACTGAATATGTGTGTAACCGTAAAAAATAAGTACATTTACTGTTACTTCGTTACTCGTTTATCATGTAATAATTAACTAAAGTTTACACTTAATGCTTTAGACTACCAATAATAACGTAGTAATAACATAAATTATATACATTTTATAATCAAAATTGTTTACTAACGTAAATACATAATATCTTATAGATATATAATGTAATTCCATATTTTCAAATGTTTTATGATAAAATAGAAAGTTTGAATTTTTAGAAATTCGTTTTTAACTAAATATGTAAAAAAAAAAAAAAAAATATTAATCTGAAAAAATAAAATAATACGTGTTTTGTTATCATTACGATATTATAAGTATGTGTAATGTGTATAATACTAAGTAAATATTTATTTTTTATAAAATATTATTGTATAAACATAAGAACATCATATAAACGATTAAAATTTTAATTTCAGCATATTATGCTGATAATTTTAAGACTTACTTGGCTATTTGAGTACCCATAACAGTTGTTCCAGGAGATACATGGTTTGAATAAGGCCTAAAACATTTAAATTCGTCTTATATTTCTATAAGAAATAAACCTATAATCTGCATAAATATAATTTATAATATTTGGATTATTGGTACCTGATGTATGGATCAACACTGAGCCAAATTGCTTCAACTAAAATTTCTAAAAAAAAATGAAAAAAAACAATAATTGGTCAGAAATAATTATTTTAAATTCAACATTCTAGAGTTCTAGATAATAGATGTAATTTTGGTTAGTGTAAATTAAAATATATTTATGTATTACCTCCTTTGTTTAATTCATCTAGCTCTTCTTCTACTAGTTTAAAATTGTCTTCTGTTGGTGCACCACTAAATGGTTTTTCTAAAATAAATTTTTTTGTAATTACCATTTTTATTAACTATTTAAAATAATAAAATATAAAATTAAGTAGGTATAATGTTATAATGTTAAGCCGCTGTGTCCGTCTATTAACTGAATAAAAAATTAGTTGTTTATTAACAACTAAAACATTACGGATGATTCGTTCTTATTTCATATATCTGACCTTCATGAATGTCAATGATAATTACAATTGATAATGAATGATATATCATTGTAGTTTCAGTTTAATTATAATAATTTGGTCTGTGGCTTAGGCGGTATTCGTCAATTACAACGATTTTTTTAGTTTATCTAAAATATATTCATTTTTTTCGCCAGTGAATTAATTACAAATTAATAAGGTGTATACATTGATTCACTGGGGAAATTTTATAAAAAATATATTCACTATTTTTCTTAAATAATAAAAAATAAAAACAAAACAAATTATCAAGTGCAAAATTTTTAAACTGTAATAAATCGTAATCAGTTATAATTTATGATTAAAAAGGCCGCGTTAGCCTAGGTGTAAAAGGAGCATTCGTTTCTGGTGGACAATTTTGAAAAGAAGCAAAATATTTAAACTACCTATTAGAAAAATAAAATGTAATAAAGGCTTTATTAAATACTTTTTTTAATTCAATACCTAACTAAAAAAACTTGAAAAAGGTTTAAATCATTTCAAAATTAACTTTGTAATTTTCATTAAAACATTACTTATAATTGTAAATTATTTAATTCCTATAATAAATATTGAAAAATACACATAAATATATGAATCACAAATTCACATCTTATGGTGTTTATGAAGTTTCGAATTTAAAAACTTATTTCTTTAACTAAATAAAGTATGAAAAGTGGTTTTTTAAAAAAACCACTTTTTCCAAGCCTTTTTTTAGAAAATTTCCGAATATCATATCAGTACTTACATAAAAAAGCAGATCAATAATGCATCAAACATTTAAGCTTGTTTTAAACATATTTACAAATACTTAAAACAATAAAAAAGAGATGATAGTAGGTTTTTAAGAAAAAAAATCAACAGATGGCTGTAGAACATAAAAGAAAAAAGAATTGTATATTTTTCCTTTTTTTTATCTTCATAGTTTTTTAGTATAACATAACTGATGCATATGAAATTTTGACATTAAAAACTCATTTCTTCTCTTAGAAATTACACGAAACGTGTTTTTATAAAAAAAACGGTTTTTCGGGGCCTATAGTCCTAAATTTTCGAAATTCATATTAATGATTTCTTAAAAGGGTAGAAAGATACTGCATTAAACTTTCTAGTCTATTTTTAATGCTTTTTCAAACATTCTATTACCTAAAAAATAGAAATATTTAATTTTTTTTTAAAAAATCGGCAAAAACCACGGTGGGCCCTTCTCTAGAAAAAATTGCTTATTTTTCTTTTTTTTTTTGTTCTCATTCTTTTCTGGAGTCATATCTAATGGTGCATATGGAATTTTGACATTAAAAACTCATTTCTTCTCTTAGAAATTACACGAAACGTGTTTTTAAGAAAAAGACAGTTTTTTGGGGCCTGTGGTCCTAAAATTTTTTAAATTCATATTAATGATTACATAAAAAGGTAAAAGGACATTACATCAAACATTCTATGACGTTTCAAACATATTAAAAAACTTTTTAGATCCAAAAATGGAGTTAATATGGGGTTTTTATCGAAACGAATCAACAAGTGGCTGTGGGCCCCGTAAATTAAAAAAAAATTGAATATTTTTCCTTTTTTTTTTATTCTTTTCAGACATCACATATTATAATGGTGGATATGAAATTTTGACATTGAAAACTCATTTCTTCACTTAGAAATCGCATAAAACTTGTTTTTTTTTAAAAAAGACGGTTTTTCGGGGCCTGTGGTCCTAAAATTTTTAAAATTTGTATTAATGATTTCTTAAAAGGGTAGAAGGATACTGCATTAAACTTTCTAGTCTATTTTTAATGCTTTTTCAAACATTCTATTACCTAAAAAATAGAAATATTTAATTTTTTTTTAAAAAATCGGCAAAAACCACGGTGGGCCATTATCTAGGAAAAAATTGTTTGTTTTTTTTTTTTTTTTGTTCTCAGTCTTTTTTGGCGTCATATCTTAGGGTAGATAAGAAATTTTGAATTTCAAAACTTAATTTTTCACTATAGTATTGCATAAAATGTGTTTTTTTTAGAAATTTTTTGTTGTATAATTTTCGAAAATCATATAAATGATTATCTATATAAAAACGTTGAGTGACAATTCACACTACTTAATAACGAAGCATGCATATTGGTGATATGATTGTTTACAATTAAATTTTAGGATCGATAGAATATAAGAGTACTTATACTATAAGCTACTAGTAAGAGTACTTTTTTTTTAACACTCATATGATAAAATATAATTTTTTCTCTCGTTCAACAAAGTACTGTGAAGCTTTGTGAACAATAATGACATAAATTGAAATAGGAATGTTTGTCATTTACATTTGATTGTGATTGTCGTCAAATGGTTGGTAGGTTATGCATAAGGTTAGCTTAGAGTGAGTCTAGGTTAAACGATCTAAAGGAATAGAAATATTAAATACCTATGAGGGTTGTTATTGGTGAGACGGCGATTCACGTGGTCGGCAGTCTTTTAGTGTTTAACCAGCATGTTTGTCTCGTGATTGAAGAATATTGTTGAGTATATTTTGAACTTTAAATACCTTAAAAAAGAATTTTTCATTTAATTTAGTTTAGCACCATTTATAGATCTAATTTATTGTCAGAAATCACTTTTAAAGATAAAAATCGAAACATTTAGACTACTTATCCTGAATACAACATACATACATACATATAAGTACCTAAAAATAAATTGTAAAATCTATCATTTCTTTCTCCACTTAGAAGTTAAAAAAACTGATAATTCTCTTATTTTTAGTTTGGTAGGTAATAGTCAATAAATCAGTTTACTTTGGTTTGTCTAAAAGACTATGATTATCAATATAAAATTTGTAATGGCTAAACGCAAATTTGTTTTGTATTAGTTGTATAATATGTTTATAAAACAGTAGTACTACATGAGGATGAGTCCATTTCCTTATAGTATCTGTCTAAATTATCCGTTTGCAATCTGTTTGTAAATGTATAATTAAAATGGATGTGTCCTAACGATTTATTGGTTGGCAGCAAGACCATCATCCGTTTTTATTTCGGTTTGTCCATTTGTCTGGATGCCAGTGTTATATACATTAAAATTTACAAGCAAATAATATGTCTACCGTTATTAAAAACAATATTATATTTTGACATATAGTAAACACGATATTCATTTTAAACGCATTATAGGTATTGTGTCGAGATCCTGTTGACGGAACGTTGTATTTCGGATAGTGTAATTCGTGACGGATCACCTCTACCGGCAGTATATCGGGACTTTTCCTGGTAGGTAAGCCTATAATTATGGACTGATTTTTTTTTATTGTAATTAATAATTTTAGGCATTTTCGTTTTATTGCTATAGCGAAAATATGGAGTACCCGTTTTCACCAAAAAAATACCTTTTTCTTTCCATCAATACTACTTTTCACCAAATGAAATATTGACCACGTTTCCATCAAAACAACTAACAACAAACTATAAAGAAAAAGTTAAAAGACTAGGTATTCAAAGATATTATAAAATAATTAAAAACAATCATATATATAAAAATAGAGCCAAAAATGTATAACAATAATTCATCAATTGAGAACGGCTGGGCCGATTTGGCTCAAATTTTTTTTAAATTGTTCGTAATTGCCAGGAGAAGGCTTTTATGAAAAAATTTTTTGGAAAAACTCTAAACACCCGCACCACAAATACTTTTTAATATTGTATACCTATATTATAGGAAAAAAAAACAAATAAATCAATAAATAAATTCTTGAACTATATGTTTTATTATCATTCTAAAGCTTATCAGAAAGCGTTAAGTTCGCCGGGTCCACTTAATATTTAAAAAAACTTTTTGGCAAAACAACGTTTGCCGGGTCAGCTAGTTTATTATAAATGTTAATAAAATCATTTTTATAGAAATTTTATTTAAAATATTATAAATAAAATACACATATTACATTATAATGTATATTATTTATTACTTTATATAACTTTTATTTACTAAGAAAATTTAATGTTGCGTTAAAATTGATGGTATAATTAAAAAGTCCTATTATTTATTTGATTTGTATTTTGTGTATTTATTTGACCAAAATCGTGACTTATTATTATAAATATTTATAATAAATTGTTTTTAAATTTTATATATATATAGTTTTATAAATAAATTTACTATATTATAGATTTTAATGATATAAAAATTGAAATTGGATGAAATGTGGTCAATGTCTCAATTGTTGGAAACAGTATTGGTGGAAAAGTGAAAGGTACTCTTTTGGTGGTAACGTGTTGCTCATTATTATCATTAAAATAAGTGATTTATCAGATAAAAACCTTGTACACTTTTATTGGTCACTTACAGAATGGTGAAAATGGATAATGTTGAATAAAACTTAGGTAATCAATTTATATTTTTATCAGTATAATTATCAAATTATTAAACAAACTATAGTAAATTTATTGATTTCAAATTTTCAACATATGCACATAATAATATTTTATGAAAAAAATCAAACTTAAGTTTTACAATAACCTTATAGGAAAATAGGAAATACTTAAATCATTAATGGTAATAATATAATCATTATATTTATATACTTAAAAAGTAACATACACATTTACCACGACACCGAAAATATATTGATAAATGTTAAGACGGCGGTACAAAGTCATATTCCCAAGACATGTGATGGTGCATCTGAGTACGTATTGCCACTATAGTAGGGAACAGGGATCTAGAGGTTCTTGACAATTTTCCATTTAAAGAAATATTTATTATTCTGAGTGTTAAAATTAATAAAAACAATTAGGTACATATACATATATGATATACAGTGGAACCTCGATAACTCGAACTTCTATAAGTCGAATTTTCGATACTAGAAAGAATGTCTTGGCCCCTACTTTATAACATATCATATGTGTAACCTCTGTAAGTCGAATTTTCGATAACTCGAATTTTTTTTTCGCTTCCAACCGATTCGAGTTATCGAGGTTCCACTGTATGTAGCGTTAATCGGATTCGATTTACAATATTATTTACTCATTGATTTGTAGTTTTTGATCGTTTTTCGATTTAAAAAATTGAAATTTTAAGAATCGCAAAAAATGAGCCATGCATAATATAAAATAATAATTTCTGTATTCGATTTACTATCCAAGTGTGGCGATACAAAATTTTGGGCAAGTTTCACAGCCCAAAATATATTTTCTGAATAAAACAAAATCACGCACGTATATAATAAATTGCATTGAGAATACAAATAATTGCGAAATTTATATTATGGCTGAGGACATATATAATGTTGTTCTAATACGTTGTTATTTGTTGTATTGGTTTAGTCAACAACTCTACCCTCACGCCGTATCGGTGTCGTGATCCGACCGTCAGTCGTGACTACGCCATCATTTTTTAAAACTGATTAGTCGCTTGGAAGTTGACCGAAATCGATATCGGGTGAACGATGACCGACGAACGGTTTTCGGTTAGCGCGTGGTCCAATATGGGCGGTATAATGTCCCTGTTGACGGTAAGTGGTATATAATACGACCCGTTGGCGTGCAACGCAAATATTGGCACCTCCTGTCTATCTTCAGTGCAGTCGGATGATTCTTTCCGGCGCCGTTTCTTTGCAGGCGCATAATAATCGGGCATGTCCTCGCCACTGTTCTCGGCGCTGAATCGCTGTTTGATGTCCGTTTTGAACTTGTACATGGAGCCGCTGGATGAATACGAGTCCGTCGTGAACGACATGCTGCACCTGTCTGCAAGGGTCTATAGAATGGAAATAAAAATAAGATCTCGTAAGACGCAATTGTCGTTATGAGTAATATACACAGTGCTGGATATAAGTCTCAAAGGATCGAAGTAAAATTACTAATACTGGAGGCCCATTTAAAAAAAAAGAAGTAATATAAGTGATATAATATAACGCATTAATTATATTTATTTTCTGTATTTAATTTAAATGATGATGAATTTGAGTAAGAAAATATTTCTACGGGGAAACCCTTTGTTCATGTGCTATATCATAAAACTGAATCATGAACTATCAAGAACAGTAAAAAGGTGCGGTGCGGATAATTTATAGACCACTATTCAATATTTTTAATAATTTATCACTTTACAATGTAGACAATTTGTAAGATATCAAGCCTAGGCCCCTTAATAACCTCAGCGTTGAAGCCCAGGATAATAGCACCCCCTGCAACCTAACTAAATCCGTCACTGGTACATTAGGTACATTATTGTACACTGTTGCGTGTAGTGCATTACGCACCTGATCATATGACGCGCTGACCGACGTATGAGATTTTGAATTTTTGGAAGAATTTTTTTGTTGACCATTCTCGTCGTAAGCTCCATCTCTGTCCAGGTATGTTAGTACGTTTGCATTGAATTTGTTCACTTCTAGTATAATTTCTTGTTTCATCACGTCATGGATTACTTGTTTCCCTGCAGCAATGAGTTACAAATATTGTTTATTTAATTTACAATTAAAATAACAATGATAACACATACCTTTGACAATTTGAGCACAATGTTGTTGTAAGTGATTGATGAGTGACAAGCACAACCCGTGGTTGGGCGGATATCCATGTCCTTCGACGAGATACTGCATGGTCTCGGTTAGACATTCTAAAAACCCCATCTTGTACTGGTCTGCCATCAAAATGGAGTTTTCGGGTTCCCCGGGAGTAGAATTCTCGGACTTTTCGATTTCCACTGGTTCTGTGGGTTCATTTGTACTACGTGGCGGTGGCTGATTCCCAACTATATATGTGACGTATATACGTAATATAAGCATTAAGCAAATATGCTTTATATATAATATTCCAAAAACAAAAATCCTTACCCGTCGAGGAAACGTTAGATTGGAGATACTTCATATGTTTGATGGCCATTTCAATTATTTCGGTCTTTTCAACTCGACCACGACCTTTTTTCATGTATTCGGCAGGTATGAGCCGTGAAAGATCAGCTAGGCAATTATTCATTCGATCGCGTCGACGTTTTTCTATTATACGATGTGACATTGGGTCCTGCATAATAAGAAACATTATCATTGTAATGTTTGTTTATATTTTTCGTTAATGTATAACATTATGACGAAACACGCTTCGCATACGGAGAAATCGAATTTTTTTTTCATACGAAAATCGTTCTAAGCGATTTAAATATGACGGCAATTTGAATTGATTATGATCACGTTTTCAACATTACAAGAAACGTATTAATAACGTCATCGCATATAAGAACACCACGTGATGAGCAAACATCTTGATCGGGGGCGATCACGTTGTCACGCCGTTGTTTATTTGTAAATAGAATAGGATCATATTATAATATGCCGACAATCGGGTTTTTCGATACAACGTGATCGGGACAGGTTATTAAAAAAAATATACGGGTCATAGAGGTTGATCATATTAAGTATGATAAACGTTCAATACCTGTAGCTAACGAATCGAGGGTAAACGTCAATTAAAAATTTGGATATGCATATTGTACAAGTACATTATACATGATTAAATATATATATATATATTTCATATTTTTATGAGGTCATTATTTATTTAAAGGGTCGTAAAATATAGCACTTAGGTAGATAATCTTAATTATTATTAAACCTCTTTAGTATAATTACCTATATATAATTTTAAATACTATTATAAATGTTATCAAATAATTTTTAAATTAAGTAACTTTACTTAAAATTGAAAATTCAGTAGAATATATGCAATAATTTATAAATTAATTTTAAAGCCGACTTTTATTTTATTTTAAGTATATTGCTTATTATTGTATACATCAAGTAGGTACTAAATTATTCTACCTATCATTCGTTGTATTTTTATAACATTAAATAAATTTACATGCGATAGTTACATTTTACTATTTTAGTACTTATTTAATAACAATAAGATCTTAATCAAAGTTATGGTTAAAAAAAATGATAGGTATATTAAAGAATAGTTATTATGTAAACATTTCGATAATTTGGTAAACAATTTTTTTATATTAATTGTATTAATTATTTTTAGTGAATTAAGATTAATTAAATATTTCTTATTAATTAATATACACAAGGAGAAACAAATATTTAAGTTACAAAATATACTTTTTTTTGTATAATTTGTATACATTAGAATAAGGTAAAAACAAACACATTTATTTAGAAATTTTTGATGGTTTTTAAATAAATTCCAATTTATAAGTAAATGTATTTGATTCTAATTTCTAACGTTTAATACAAATAATAACAGAACTTAAGGAAAATAATGACTTTCAGTTTAAATTAAGTTATTCTGTATTATTGATAATAGAGTAGCAATTGGTGAAGTATAATGACGTTAAAACACTTGTCGATAAGTGATATTTGTAATGATATTAATATAATTTTATACATAATAATATATTAATATAACCCGATTATATTAAGTTCTCTGAAACAATAATTATACCTGTGAAAACTTGTATATTGTTTCTCCTCATAAATTATTTATTTTTTTTTTTAATTTAAACATAAATATTTTATTTTACTGTATTATATTTAAAGAGATATCGAATAAAATACTTGTAATACTAAAAGTTAAGTATAAATATATGCAATGGACTTACTCCTTTTAATTTTAATTAAGTTATTTTCATTGTTAATCCTTTATATTTTAAGTATATAATTTTAAGCTGTTGATTTTATAGAATTACTGTTTCATGTTCGTGTACCTACCTAATTTTTATTTTATTTTACATATAAATTTTACAAGTGAATCATTATCCACTTATAGGTTATTTGTCATAGTAATAACACATTATCCGAGCGGTATCTTCATTAATTGTATATTTATATATCACTACTACCAAATTAAATTACGAATTTTGAACACTCTTATAATTATATATTGGAATATGATTATATCACGCAAAAAACTTTAAATGCTATGTTTTGAAAATATAAACAAAATAATTTTATTGTTTGTTAATACTTGTAATCAAGCGTTTTCGCTATGTTTACATTTACAATTGTAAATTTATAATAATAATACATCATAATATCGTATAACACACAATATATAGACACTAGATACTTATATTTTATAGCCATACAGATATATCATGTATATACTAATAACTCGCTAATAGCTACCTAGTACCTATATAATACGAACAACGTCTACTGCAGCTGATAACCACGCGTTCGAGTGTTGTAGACAAATGACGGTAAACGACTACAACTATTGGGCCTATAGTATAAGCTAAAATATTATTTTTATGTCGATTATAACATAATGTACCTATTACCATTGATTATAAATTGTATTTAACCCTAGCTACTACCTATAGAAAATCATTGATTTTATCAATATATGTATATAAACGTATGGTAATGGCGAATGATTGACCGACCGCCATCATGTCGTTAAATTATGTACCTATACATACCCTCTTTTTTGATAATAATCTGCAATAATTATGTTTACATACATATGCAATATCAATACGTAATACATTTTGAATTTAAAATGATTTACATATGGGAAGAACTCCCCATATAAGATTAGATGGTTCTATGGGTGTAAAAAACATATCAATATTGATAAGCAGCTAATATAAATATGAATATGGTTTTAACATCATCACGTGACCACAATTGAACAAATATACTTCGCCTGTTTTATTTTACATTTATATTACGCACAATGATGAAGAATTGTAAAATACAAATTCTTGACTCCTGTTTATTTTATTATTATTATCATACATAATATTAAAACATAAAATATGTAATATATAAATAGATACCACATTAAGATAATGTATAATTAATATATTATTAAAAACCAATTAATTAGTTAATTGTGGTCCCTTTTCCCCAAAATGCAAAGTAGGCGATTGGCGGTAGTCATGTAAAAGATACTTTTTAAATATATTTTTCAAGTATAGATACAAATAATTATTTTGAAAAGTTTTGAAATATGCATGTGAATACACAGTAAAAATAGTATTTGCGTACAATACATATACTTTAAAATATTAATATTTATGGATATTTTCAATTTTTTTTAGCATTTTAATGTTTTATACATAACATTAATTTTATTGAGTATTTTACACCACTTGATTTGGTGTAACTATAAATTACTCATCTGTTTTTTTTTTGTCATTGTTTTTGGTTGTGGGTACCTACCTATATTATTATTATTATTTAAAGTCACATAAAAATATACATTATTAGAATATACGATTATTATATATTATTATCAGATATTTTTTTTTTATTTTATGTTATTAAATTAAAAACAGAAAAAGTATTTGAAAGTTAGTACTTGTTTGATTTTATACATAGATATTATAAACATAAAAAACTTTGTCCAAGAACTTTTTTAAAACGTATTTTAAATACATTTTTAAGTGCTTTAAAAGTATTTAGATACATTTAATTAATAATATTTTTTTTCAATTAAAATTCAATATGATTGGTCTGGAAGGTCAACATTAAACCTCCCTTTTAAAGGCATTGTTACAGAATATTCGAGCAATTTTCAAAGCGTGTAACGCTATTTGTTCGAATTTTGATTTATATATTAAAATTTTCTATGAAAAATCATTTGTTCAATCGTCTATAGTAAAAAAAAGAAGATCTGCATTATTAAAAAAAAAAGAAGTTTATATCGCCACAGGATACCCTTCAAATGGTATTCAAATTTAAGTAATTGAAAATATGGTCGTTAAATACACCAAGGTATTTAAAGATTTCAAAAATTTTCGAATTTTATTAAAGTTATTATTCAAGACAAAAAGGGGGTGAACTTGATTGGTGAATTACACGTATATATCTATACATCATCGGCACATACCTCTTTGCTGATATTCTTCGCCTGATTCCGGTGCGGTCCAGTTCTATCGGTAAGCTGCTGCATTTCACCTTCGAGATTATTACATTGCTCCGCGTTCATGTGCGGCGCCATTTGAATTGAAACGGCATGCGATTTACCGGACAGTCTGTCCTTCATAGTGTTTTCGTGGTGCGTTATTATCATGTCCGACACCATCGGCATCTACGGAAACACCAGTCGTTAAGTATATACAAAACTACAATAATAATATATTCAATATAATACATGGAAATGAGATGCAGAAATGTTTCAAACATCGCACGTTATTTAAGGTTTTATCATCGATTATCATTTTATCCAAATGTCGAATTACATCGAGTCTTTGGGTGAGGGTAGTTTTATTTTTTTCAACGCTGTATGATTCCATAGACACCCACAGGAAAAAGTCACAAGAGGTAATAACTTGTTTAATGATATATCCCCTAGTACCTATTATCTACCTAACCAGTTCATGGGCTTATATATGGACTCGGTTATATACTTATATATAAAAGTTTAAATTTACTATTGTGCAAACCGATTTTGATATAGACATATTTTAAACTAAAAAAATGTATAATTTTCGCTATACACAGTAGTTTGGTATAAAATAATTACACGCAAACGTGGACATCAATTAACTTTTAACTTAACTCAACACGAGTTAATTATTTTCATTAATTTGTCCACCTCTGAAGTTATATGGAATTAATTTTTTAGAAACCTGCACTTTTTTAACGTCCTTCTCGGGATTTCAGAGATATCGGAACTGTAGTGTTTAGAAAACCGGCTGACCAGTAGTATCCTGGCGAAATAAGGACGAATGGCAACCCTAATGTCATGTATGCCGAATTGTTTAAAGATTTTTAATGAAACGTATCAAAGATAAAAAAAAAAAAACACCACATCTTACATATAGATAAAATATTAAAAAGTTCAAATAAAACGCGTCTGCACCACTCACCAAATGACTGTTTTAGTGTTTTTTTGGTGTAATCCAAATACTCGTTTGTGAACACTCGATCCAGTCGTACGCGGTAGATACGATAATTAATAATGTAATATTATAATATTACTGTGTGGTTTTACGATTGTGACGATCGGCGGGTAAAACAATGATAATACTGTGTTCGTAACGACGCAAACGAACGCAAACAAATTCACGCCGAAAACGAGAATACCATAATACCTACTTACGAACGAATATCGAACACGAATTCGGCGGACAGATCGGAGACCCGCGCAAAATTTCCGGTTTCGCGCACGACGCAGTGATGGTGTAACGACGGCAGAGTAGGAAATAAAATAACACGCGTATTTCCACCGCGCTAACAACAATAACGACGATTCGATAATTATTATTGTAATAGCCGTGTTTTATGACCGCCGGACAACGGTATATCATTGGTTACCGTTGCACAGACTTTAGGACGCCGCCGAAAGACAACGGCAACAACAACAACAACAACAACAACAGTATTATACCGGAGAATAATAATAACAAAAAAAAAAAAAAAAAACAAACGAGCGATAATATTATGTTATTACGGTCGTTGCCAAACGGTTCGAGCTCGACGACTGGACGGTGCGCGGCGCTAACGCACAATACGCGTAATACCTGCGGAACGTTGGCGCGTTAACGGTGGTCGTCGTTCATCAGGTGGCGGCGGGACCGGTACTGTAGCGCGCCGCTTAGCAGTTAGCGTGTCGCGACGCACGTTCAAAGCTGCTTCGGAACCGGCGGCGGCTGCTGGCCCCCCAGTGTTGCCACCGAGCTGTCGCGTGCCTCGGCCGACCGCCGCCCACCACACGGCAGGCTACGCCGCGACAGGCACACACACACACACACACACACACACACACGTGCTGTCCTACGTCCGTCGGCGCCGCCGCCGCGTCTTCAACAATTAATATTAAATGTGTGAAAAGAACAATTTGATAACAATAATTATTATTTTCTCACCGCGGTGTGTGAACGCTCCTCACTCGCAGCTCACGCGGTGCACTCGGACGGCGGCATCGCAACAACAACACAGTATAATATTGAAATATTTCAAAAGTTATCGCCGTCCGCCGATAAAAAACAATTTCGGCGGTACACCGTGCGCTACGGCGGCCGCCGGTCGCCCACGGCGGCGGTCGATCGCGCTGCCGGCTAGCACATTGCGCCGAACGTGACGGCGTCCGCGTGTGCGCGGTTAACGCGTGTCGCGTGATCGTGTTGCGTTACGTTCTACGGCGGCAACGTGCTATTATTATTATTATTATTATTATAAGTATTGTAACTACGCGTGTATTTATTGTATTATTATGATTATTGTACGTGTACGAAAGTCACCGGAATTATTGCTGTTGGTGACTGTTGATAAATGTTTGAAACGCACGTGACGGACACCGCGAACTGAGTTCGTTACGCGATTTTTTTGAATACCTACATACGACCACAACCCTAAACTTCTAATCTTGGCGATGTTTTCGTCATTATTATCATTATCATCATCATCATCATCATCATCATCATCATCGCGGTAAACGCGTGGTAGCGGCGGCCGGGGGGGCATACCAGCTATACAGCTCCTTCTACACGGGTTGTGGGTGGACGGGGTCCGCCACCGATGACCAAATAGACAATAGTAAATACGTACGTACATGCGTACGGTCGTCTCGCGACACAATATTATACGTGTAGATGGGTACATTATATCGATGTCGATTAGAGAAGAGATTTCAAAACTAGTATATGAACTACGAAATATTATATTATCGTTTAAAATACAACGTAACATATCTTTTTCATATCATTACACCTTAATAATAGTTATAACACCTATCCAGTATAATATCGATGACCGATGTACGTAATCGATATAATAATACCTGCCTATTAGACCTTAACTCGAGCTACGGCTATTGAGTGTATTTTTGAAATGTCTGCGTAACTGCGCCTATAATGTGTATTGTTATTACCTATATCAACGAAATAAATCAAAACTCGAGGAAGTAAGGTAAACAGGAGCAAAGTACAACATTGATCTGGTGCTCAATGGGCAATGGTTAGTGGTTATACACTTATACCGAGAACTACTACTCCAACACACAATAAACAAAACTTCAAATATAATGAGGAAGTTTAATATTACTGTTTTATTACGTGTCGAATCGTTATTATAGTTTGTATAGTAGGCATAGGATAGAATAGTTATGTTCAAAAGCAACAATTTACAATTTACTATAACCTATGATATATCTATGATATATTGATATTTATAAAACAAATAATACCTACATTAAAATAATATGATTGCTATTTGATACGTCATTGCTCATTAAGTTCACCATAAACTATTAAGTAATATTAAATTACATGCGAGTTTTAAAAATATATTTTATAATGTCCTGATAAAATTAATACTCTTATGGTTAGAAGTTAGTACTAAACGAACGGAGAAGAGTTTAACAAAGAACACAAAAGAATTTTGTCTACCTAGATACTATAATATTATGATATATATATATATAAGTAACATACCAACGTTGTAAACAATAGACATATAGAATTGAAAAAAACAAGTTAAATATTACTAATTGTCAAATTCTCCAAAAAACATATTATAGCAATTGGGGTATTAGAATTATATCTTGAGTAGATAATAGCTATTAGGTAGGTATATAAATATGTTATGGCATTACTTAATTCTAAATTTTTACCACATATATTTTGTGTATTTAGTGTATAACATTAAATTTAGTAATGTTTTATCACAGTTTAGTTATTATAGACAAAGAAACATATTATAATAATTAATAATAGTTATATAATTATTTAATTATATAACTTTTACAACATAAATAAATTATTACTATGGGTATTTTTTGGTACACAGAAAATTAATACGATATAAGACATCTGCTAAAGCAATGATAGGATTATGCACTTTTATCCAACCTCCTTCCCATTACGAATTAAAATTTTTTTTTTTGGTTAAATGTTTATCGTGAAATTAGTTTTGAATTTGCTTGACACCCTATCAATTTTGAAATTTAAACTTTAAAGAGAAACTATAGAAGTATCTTTATACCTCTTTTTTCATTAAAATTTTGAATTTAGTTGTAGTTTGTTTACCCAATAATTAGTGCGCAATTAGTGTGAATTTATTTAACCTATGTCTGACTTCAGTTAATTGAGTATATTCGACAAAATAGGAATTAAAAAAGTTTTAAAATTTTGAAAATATTGTTTACGGATTTTTTACTCTGAAACATTAAGAGATAAGATGAAGTTGATATTCTTGATGGCCGTATAAATAGTATGTTTTAGATTTGTTAAAATAACAAAATTTAAAATTTTTGAAATTTCATTTTTAAAAATCTACGTTCAAAATTATATGGAAAACGGTAGACATAATATTTAAAATGTACCTAATATTTGGATTGTAATATACCTACTTAAGTTCTACGTTTAAATAATATGGATAAATAGAGTTTACATTTTAATCGTTTTTATTCCATTTTTTTTGAAATGAATTTATAAATGCAGGTCAAAAGAAAGTGTATAGAATTAGTTCGTACTTCTTGTATTTACTAAAAATATTTATTTTTTTGGAGTTCCTTACATAAATCCAGTTTTTTCCTATTTAAAAAATACAGAACTTGTTGAGTTTTATCAATTTTGCAAGTTTGATTTGTGTAGTGGCTAGATAAGTAGATAGTCTTTTGTAGTTATAACTACTTATAGTTTATAGACTCTATAGGTACCTTGGAATTGGCTTTATTGTAAAAAAATGTTGCTACTGTAAAATAGAGAATTTATTAATATGTTGTTGTGAATTTAGTGGGCTTTCCATCTTTAAATCACCAATAAGTAAACTATATTAAAAAAAAAAAAAAATAATTGATTATAAAATTTATATACGTTTTTACGTTATTTACGTATTACAAATTTTAACACATAACACCATGGAAGAATATTACTTAGCATGTATAGTATTTCATTTTTAGAAAAATTGAATAACAGAAAAAAACTTTATTAGTTCAGCTGAACGACATATTGCGTTTTCTTATAAAATTATATTTTTTTAATACTTCTCTGCTTTACATAAAAAAATCTAGATTATAGATCTGATTATTAGTGTTGTTATTGTTATTAAGCATTCATAAACAGTTATTATTATTTACGATTTTTTTCGTAAATGTACTAGTGTAGAGCATAGTAGTATACCTTATACCTATTCGTGTTTATAATAGTCCGTTGGTGCACAGTTGTATACGTTTTAACAAAATCGTATTTTTATCGTTTAGACAATATTTTTGTTTAATAACATTAAAGCATCTACTATTTATCTTCAAAGTGTAAATAAAAAAATGGTATAAGTTTCTTTTATCGCCCTCAAGCATAAAATATGTCAGAAATCGGGAAAGAAATTTAAATATAACCAACAACGAAAAAGATTTAGCATTATTATTTGAATTAGATGGTGGTAAACTTAAGCTTAACAGATTATAAACGAATTAAAGAATAAAGATATTAACTATAAAAAAATATTTAAGTTATTTATTTATGTGAGCTTAAGTATAATATTTGTATTATGTGACAAAAAAAATATTCATTTATTGTAAATATAATAATTGTATGATCGACTTCAGTATATTGTCATGTTACATATAGTATTATTTCATAATTACTGTGTTAGGATAGGTTCACTTGTTTATCGAAGAACTCACTAAACAAATATTAAAGTAAATAGGTCGTTGTACTATTTTCTCGTTATACATTGACTATACCTATTTAACATATGAGTGTATACAATATTATGCTGAGTGCTGGTTTAATATAATATGAATATGATGATACTAAAAATTAGTATTAATTATTCATTATTCCGTTCATAGCATTTTTATTTTTAAGACAATTTTGAGTTCCAAAATTGTTAATTATTTATTTAATTTATAATGTACTATAGTTAGTACCTATTATGTTTTTTGAAAAATTTTTGTAGATCTCGTATTAAGTATTTAAATATTTACTAAAACTACAACGTAGATATTAGTTATAATATGGCATCAGTATTGAAATATATTAAATAATTAAAAATTAAAAGTAAATAATTATTTTTCTTTCTTTCTTTATTATTATTATTTTATAATAAATAATTTAGTAAGTTAGCATTTATAATGTATATTACATAAAATATAAAATTAATTTACGCAAAAGTTTATTAATAACCTACTACATATTATTCATGATCAGTAATTTAAAAAGATTTTCCAACTTTAAAACTTGTTATTACCCTAAACTTATTATACTTTTACTTTATGCTTAAATTCACAACTGTTGAAGTGTATACACTGTACATGTAATTCCATTGTCTACAGAGTATATTTTATAATTATAATACTCGTAAGAATATAACAAGCTAGTATATATTATATCAAATAAAATATTTTATAATTTTTACTATAAACATTAAATTTAATAGTATTATTAGTTAAAAATTTGTTTTTCCGGTTAGGTTAGGTTTTATAAGAGTTATGGTAATTTTTAAATTGTAATAGTTTACATTTAATATATACTTGTGTATGGTTAATGCACTACTGCCATAAATTGATGACATAACCAAAAAACATTCATACGTATTATCTTATTGTACTTATGATATCCTTACAGATTGTAAACATTATTATAGAAATAAAATAATATATCTTTTTACAATAAATGTTTAATATACAATCACACATGACGCA